TGCAAGGCTGGACTCCTCCAGAGCCTTTATTTAGGGTCCCACCTTCTCTGAAGCAGCAGGCCTCCTTGCCTGGCTATGGGGCGTCCCTCTGCATCACTAGGACCCTGGTGGAGGGGAGGCCGCCCGTGGGCAGGGGAGGCCAGAGACACACACACCGCTGGGCCAAAGTATACATCACTGAGGGGGGGCATATCTTGGAGTTTGTCCCTGGCAGAGAGCCTGCTCTGGCGTTGACATCCCTCCCCTCTCCCTCCCCCCCTTCTTCCTGTATGGCCAACTGGCAGGTGATTGTCCAGCGGTGTCTCTCCGGGAAGAACATGTCCCACATCAAGGCCGGCTGCATCTTTTGTGGCTACATGAAGCTCCTCCCCATGTTTCTGATGGTGATGACGGGCATGATCAGCCGGATCTTGTACACAGGTATGGGGAAGTCCATGAGGGATGGCCTCTTGACTCACCACCTGCTCTGGCGCGTTCACGGGAGGGAGGGAGCCCCTGAGTCTCCCACATCCTTGGAAGGAGGGTGCGCTTCCTCCTCGGCCATGTGGCTCGGTCACTGGCTGAGGCAGGACTGTGTCCAGGCCGCCCCCTCCCCAACCAAGTAAAGAGTTGCCAGTTTCCCTCCTCCCCCTCCCCGCATAGATGACGTGGCCTGCGTGGTGCCCGAGAAGTGCGAAGAAGCCTGTGGGACGGCCGTGGGCTGCTCCAACATCGCCTACCCCACTCTCGTGGTCAAGCTCATGCCCAACGGTGAGACCCTTCTCTGCGCGGGGGATGGTTTGGGGAGGAAGGGGGGGCAGCTGGGGCCAAGAGGAGCAATCCAGTCATAGAGCAAAGGGAGGGGTGGTTCGGGGTGGTGGTGGTGGATCTGCCTTGCTAGGTGAGGATTCGGCTGCATTGCTTCGGTTGCTCCTGCGTGCCTTTCCGCAGCCTCGGAAGATACCCCAGTTTCTTCGCAGAGAACGGCAGAGACCTCGGGGCAAAGAGGAGGCTGCTGCCCCCTGGTGGCAGCCGTTATGAGCCACAAAGTGGGGGGATGGCTTAGGGGGCTCCTGTCAAAAGCACACCGCCGTTTGCTTGGAAAAAGGTGGCAATCCACCCACCGGCCCACTCCGCAGATGACAGTGGCGTACCTCTTGCTCCGCGCCTGAGCATTAAAAAGAAAAAAGAACAACAGACCCCATCCGTGTGAAAAGCTAGGGTGATTCCCCCCCCTTTCCCTGTTTTAATGTCAAACCTATCCAGGAACAGCAAAATTATTTTAGCACATTTAAGACAAAGAGATTTATTTCAAGTACCAATGTTTGTGGATTACAGTCCACTTCCTGGGACCCTTCCTTGTGCGCGTTGGGCTCCCTTGCAATTCCTTGACCCTAGAATCTGGAATTGTGAGATTGACTGGGACGAGTGGGGAGGTGAAGAACAGGGGTATCCAAAAGATGGAGGCGGTAGGAAGGCTGCATGGGGGAGCCTCCTGCCCCTTTCAGGGCAAGGCTTGCCTGCTGACCCCTCCTCCTCCCCCCCCCTTTTGCTTTCCAGGCTTGCGAGGCCTGATGCTCTCGGTCATGCTGGCTTCCCTGATGAGCTCCCTCACCTCCATCTTCAACAGCGCCAGCACTCTCTTCACGATGGACATCTACACCAGCCTGCGTAAGAACGCCAAGGAGAAGGAGCTGATGATCGTGGGCAGGTAAGGGGTGGCGAGGGGTCGCGCCTGGAGCCACTGGGCTGGAAGGGGGAACCTGCCCTGCCCACATTGACGAACAAAAAGCTACCTTTTCGGGGACCTTCTGCCTGGGACAACCCGGGGAATGACAGCCGAGGAAAGCAATACCCCCCACCCCACCCCAAGTGTTGGATTTGACACCTTTTGCTGAAGGCCCCAGTCCTTGGTGGGTTCACAGGGGTGCCCTTCTCCATCCTGCAGGCTGGAAATGGATAAAAACGGCCCCTGTGGGTCTCTCCCCCCTTGTTTTGATCTGTGTCCGGATGCCGGAACAGCAAGAACAAAACTGAAAATAACCTCGGACGTCTCACGCTGCTTTAAAGATGAGCAACTTTCTTCCTGGGCCCAGAAATGAATCTGGATCCAAGCGAACAAAGACAGGACTGCAGAGCGGGCGATGCCTTTTACTGGACCGCTAAAAAAACCAGACAAATTTCATCCGCAAAAGCTTGCTGTTTGTCTGAATTTTTTATTTTTAATTTTTTGGCAGTCCAGTAAAAAACCTCACCTGCTCTTGCCTTAGTGAAATGAAGCTGCTCGTCTTGAAGGCAGGGCTTGGGTCCTGCCACGTGCGTTGCAAAGGCCTTCATACACGGCAACCGCTCTGGAGAATGTGGCCATCGATGTACAACAGCTTCCAGGGAGCCGCGAGGCCTCTGTGCTGCTGCTTGGCCTTCTCGCTGATCCTAATAAAATGACTGACCTTGGCACAGTCATTCCCCCCCCCTAAAGGACCAGCCAAGAGTTTCCCCTCTACTGTGTGAGAGGTTGGGAGTTCAATTCCCTACGGTGGATATTAAAAGAACCGGCCTGGGTGGCCTTGGGCCGGCTGCACAATCCCAGGGCTCACCCCTTGGGAGAAGGGAAGGGGAAAATACTTCTGAAGAGTCCATACCTTAAAAACCTTGAAAAGGGTCACCGTAAGTCAGAAGTGACCAGATGGCGCACAATTCTCCTCCTCCTCCTCCTCCTCCTTCTGGACACAGTTCTCCTCCTCTTCCTCCTCCTTTTCCTCCTCCTTCTGGGACGGCAGCCGAATGAACCTCACACAGTCTTGCGACCAAACTGGCTTGCTTTGATAGGGTTGGGAGGCCCCAAGTGAGACGTCCGAAGGAAGTTTTTGGGATTTTCAAGCCCCAGGCGAGCAAAAAAGGGAGACCTTGCCTGGTGCCTCGAGTCTTACTCGTGCTTTGATCCCGTCGGCAGGTTGTTCATCTTGGTGTTAATCGGTGTGAGCATCGCCTGGGTCCCCGTCGTGCAGTCGGCTCAGAGCGGGCAGCTTTTCGACTACATCCAGTCCATCACCAGTTACCTGGGACCCCCCATTGGCGCTGTCTTTTTCCTGGCCATTTTCTGCAAGAGGGTCAACGAACACGTAAGCCTGGACACACACACACATGGGAAGGGGTCATCCTGTCCAAGAAGGGCTTATGCCTGCAGCTGGGGTGGGGACCAAAGGTGGCCCGGGGGGGGCAGTCCAGGGCCTGAGGCCGCCTCTGCTCTCTCCCGCAGGGGGCCTTCTGGGGCCTGGTCGTCGGGCTGCTGGTCGGTCTCTCGCGCATGATCACGGAGTTTGCCTACGGGACAGGCAGCTGCGCCATACCCAGCAACTGCCCGGCCATCATCTGTAAAGTTCACTACCTGTACTTTGCAATCATCCTCTTTGTCATCTCCGTCATCGTCATTTTGGCCGTCTCCTTCCTGACCAAGCCCATTGATGACATCCATGTAAGCCTCACGACCTTTCTCTCCCTCCGGCTGCTTCCTCTCGCCCCTTTCCTTCCTCCTTATCCTCCTCCTCGGTTCTGATCTCCTCTTTCCTCCATCTCCGCTCAGCGCCAAGTGATGACTGGAAACAAAGGGACTGCATTTAATTAACTTGGGTGGTGTTTTTTTTTAAAAAAAGGACCTGCCCCATGTGTGTGTGTGTATGTGCAGGGGGGGGGGGAGAGAGCCTCAGCCTCCCTGGTCACTTGATCCTTTACAATGTTTGGGAGCCAGGATCCGTGGCTTCTGTGCCCCTGGCCCCGCCTGATCTCAGCTGCTCACGGTTCCTTCCTGTGTCTGCCAGCTGTATCGTCTCTGCTGGACGCTGAGGAACAGCAAGGAGGAGCGCATCGATCTGGATGCCGAAGACAATGTGCAAACAGAGACCATCTATGAAGATGCGGGGAGGGCTCGAGGTATCTCTTTCTCTAGGTCCACCTTTTCTCTCAGCTTGATCTACCCCCTAGAACTCCTGTGAACATTCATGAGACACACAGGTGTGTGTGTATGTGCAGGGGGGGAGAAGAGAGCCTCGGCCTCCCTGGTCACTTGATCCTTTACAATGTTTGGGAGCCAGGATCCGTGGCTTCTGTGCCCCTGGCCCTGCATGATCTCAGCCGCTCACGGTTCCTTCCTGTGTCTGGCAGCTGTATCGTCTCTGCTGGACGCTGAGGAACAGCAAGGAGGAGCGCATCGATCTGGATGCCGAAGACAATGTGCAAACAGAGACCATCTATGAAGATGCGGACGGTAAAGCCACGCTTAGCCCCCGATTCTCCCCCCCCCTCAGTGGCAGAAAGCCAGGAGTAAAGTCACAACTAGAGCAAGCCCGATTCATCAGTGGGGATTGGGTGAGTCATCTCCTCCGTGAGGTCCCCTGATTCGAATGGGCCTACTCTAGTGGCAACGTACTCCTGGATTTCAGCCTTTGTGTTAACCCAAAGTGTGAGCTGGGCAGGATCAGTTCCTGATCTAGCGCTGAGAGACCAGCCACCTCAGCAGCAGCTGCCAGGGGGCAGAGAAGGGAGGAAGGAAAGGCGCGGGGGGGGGCGATGCAAACCGTGCCCACGTTGGAAGCTGTGGGAGTTTGGCAAAAGCCACATCCAGGGCAAAGGCACCCACTTGGAGGAGCACGGGGATTATTTTCAGAACAACAACAACAACAACAACAACAACAAAAGGGCACAAAATGTGCCCAAAGGTTGAGGGGCCGGAGGGTTGGTTTTGGGTTCCACCCGGAGGGCCCCACAAACGGCAATGTGGGGGGCAGGATCTCTGCCTTCCTTTAGCACCAAGGTGGAATTCTTCTGGAGAAGCCGCGGCCACGGCTTGGAAAAGTGACTCTCTGGGGGCGAGACCCGCCAGACTCTCCCACTCAGCAGGAGGGACCTTTGGCATCACCCTTCACCCCCCGCTACAAAAAGATCTTCCGTGCTGTCCCCGTAAGCGTTGAGAGAGGCTTGTCGTGGCTGCAGTAAATCAGAGTCCCCGATACAGGAGAGCCGTCCCTGCAGGCTTCCAGCCCCTGCCACCCCTCCTGGCACCCCTCTAGCCACAGAGCATGGGGTTTCGGCTCTCGCCAGCGGGCGCTCGGGCCCCGTGGGCTTGGTGCTGAGCGTGCCGCTCTCCTTGCAGTGCCAGACAAGGAGCTGAGCTGCCTGCGGAAGAGCTACAACTGGTTCTGCGGTCTGGAGCAGGGGGGGCCCAAACTGAGCAAGGAGGAGGAGGAGGCCATGCGCCAGAAGCTGATGGACACCACGGAGGACCCCTTCTGGAGACGGGTGGTCAACGTCAACGGCATCATCCTGCTGGCTGTGGCCATCTTCTGCCATGGATTTTTTGCCTAGAGGACGGTGAGATCTCTCCGGGGTCCCCCCCCCACTCATGGGTTATTGTTATTTTTTTTTCAAAGGAGGGCCTCCCTCCCTCCCTGGAGTTGCACCACAAAACTGTAAATTTGTAAGTTACGTGCTTGCCAGACCTGTAACTTATTTGTACCAATTAAGTCGATTTAATCAACAGTTGAATCTCAAGAGCCAGTTGAAAGGATTCCCACGGAGGGGCAGGAAGAACCTGTCCCCCCATCCTTGTTGGCCATGAGGACCAGCGCCTTGGAGGAGTGGCTTTGCTCAAGGCGAGGTCGGCCCACATCTCCGAGGGCACAGGACTGGAAGAACGTGGCCCGGCTCGGTGTCCTGGGAACCCTTTTTTTTTTTGGACTCTGTCTTCATAATGTGCGGAGTTTTTTTAAAAAAATGCAGCTTTTCCACAGTGTGATCTCTTCCCAAAAATAATACAATTGGTAAAAGCAATGAGCTTCAGCGCAAGTCCCTCCGGTAGAGCCTGGCTTTCAATCTATTGTGACTCCCTCTGCTTTTCTTCCCTTGCCACAAGATCTTTTAAAGGATTTTTCCCCTCTTCTCCTTCATGTTGGGCATTTGCTTCCCTCCCGAGTGTGTTTTGTCCCTCATCGTCCCCCCCCCCCGCCTTGGCCGTTTGTGGTTTTCTGTCCTAGCAGGTGAAGGACAAAGGGCTTCCGTTGCGCCGGCCATTCACACCTGCACAGCCTGAGGGGACTTCCCAGGATTGGAAGGAGGGGCCACAAGATCCCCTCAATATCACAGTCTATGACTGCCGTCGTGCCATCTACGCATTGTTGTACATTGAATCTACTGTTTCATAATGAAAAATTACATGAACTTTATTTTTAAAACTAATTGTTTCTTGTCAATCGAACCACCTGGTGCAACAACAGAGAGATGGGGAGGGACAGCCTTCTGTTTGTGGTCCTGATGAGAGTCGTCTTTTCACCCCCACCCCCACCCCCGTGGCTTAGAAGGAGAGAGGCCTGATGCCAGGAGCATCTCCCCATTTCAGTGGCTTTGGGAATGTTTTGGAGATGAAAACAGTCCACAAAACAACGTGGATCTTTCAAAAGCCAAGTGGCTTCGTAGGTGCATGTCTGAAAAAGAAAATGCACATAAACGTGGTGTCATCCAGCAGTGGCCAAGGGGGTGTGCCTTGCTGAACGAAGGGCATGGCAGGGGAACATGGGCTTAGCAAGTGTACAGATACCAGCGGAGGAGACGAAGCCCAGGGTTGCCCCTGGATGTGAGCGGAAGAACAACGTGGGGGTTGAGGGGGGAGGAAGGGGCAACCGAGACGGAGTGCTTTTCTCCCTGGATGGTCCAAAGCAGAGGAGGCTCTGTGCTCCAGCACAGGGGAGCAGGGGGCCTGCATCGCTCTGCCCAGCTGGCCTGGCCAGGAGGCGGGTGGAGGGAGCTGCCTGCCACGGCTGGAATGGAGGAGGTCGAGGGCATCCGGCTGGAGGTGCAGCACCATGGAGAGCTCCCAGCAGCAAGGGGGGGGGAGCGCTGGGTGGAAGAGAGCAGACATCGCCTCTCTTGGGCTCCTTCCAGGAGAAGGGAGAGACGGTCAGCCTTGGGACACAGGGAATCAAGGTTCTCGTCCCCCTCTCAGCCATGGAGAGGACTCTTCTGGCTCAGTCCACTTTACACGGCTGGTGTGAAGATAAAACGGGGGACGTGAGAGCTCTGCTTCCTGCCTAGCATTCACTGGAGGAAATGTCACGGACGGAGAACAACGTCCACTGGTGAGGCTCGGGTTTGGGTCGGGGGGGCTGGCAATACGGCTCCTTTGCTCTCCCTGTTCCCTCTTCACAGGGTCACGAGTCCACCGAGGACTCGGGCTCAGGGCACCCCAGTGATGGGGCCAGGCCTGTCAGCCGACTCCTGGCAACCAGGATCTGTTGGAAAGGATTCCGTGCTTCCTCGTGGGTCTGCCCCGTGGCCCCCCCCACTTGCTTTCTGGCTGGGAGACAGCAGACGGCGTTGAGTCTTCAGCCGGTTTGCTCCTTCTAGATCCCAAGGAGGGACGGGCTGGCCAAGGCTGGGCTTTTTCCTGCAGGCATGTGCGAGGGAACCCAGTCAGCTGATTGCTGCATTCTGCCAGCCTTAATTATAGCACAAACGAGGCCGACTTCAAGAGGAAGAGAGAAACGGGTGGCTGTTGAGGTATAGGAGGTTTCTGACCTCACAGCACAGCCTCCTTTCAGAAGCGCAGGCTCACCCCCTCTGGGGCTTTGACAAAACAGGCCCCGTTGGGCAGAGCCCGTTTGCAGAAAGAGTGGGTTTAATTGCAGGCCATGAGGGTGGAAGAGGCAGACACGGTAATTGCTGCAGTTAATTTCCCAGAGGCAGGAATAAAAGCAAAGCCCCCCCCACCTCGATGCTTCCAGGTGACTCAGTGGTTGGCAGCCAGATGTACAAGCAAAACCCCACCACCTTTTCTAGGCGGCTGCCACCTTCCTCAGTTTTCGGTGCACAGACCAGGTGGACCTGGGAGCAGAAGAGAGAAGGGGGCCGTCTGATGGTTTTTGTCAACGTTCTGTGTGATGGTCCCTGGGGTCAGGGAGGTCCCCTCTAGCCATCCCACCTGTTTATCCTTGGGCTGGTGAGCCCCAAGAGAGTCAAAGTTGGTGATGGCTCTGGAAGCTGCCTGGAACTGGCACTTCCCCTCCATCAACACTCCAGCCTGCCCTAACTGGGCAGTGACCCAGGGAGTCCAAAGAGGGCACCTATCCACAGGGGTAGGTGCTCAGAACCCCTGTGCCCACCTTGCAAGGCAGAGCTGCCACCACACCCACAAAAATACACAAACTTCCACGAGGTGGTGAAGGCAAGACTATGTTCTAATGCCAAAAACTCAAACAGTTAGTTGGAGAGATTTTTATATTTTATTGAACATAATAAAAAGGCAAAAGTTCCCCTCAAAATTCATATAGGTTACAAAATGCACTTGGGGGGGAAACGATTTGAGGCAAAGCTAAGGGAATCCAGGATCAGCAGAGTTCTGAAGCACACACCAAGTGCATCTACCCAGGCATGGCACTACAGGATAGCAACTGAGCATAGCATCTCCTGAGAGGTAAACTAAGCCATAAATAAACTGCAGGGGGTTATTATTTTCTTCTTACTGGGCAGAGGCTAGCCGCCAAATTCCTGGTCTGCCTTTCTCAGGCACCTGCAAAGAAGTCTGAATTGTTTAAAGGTGGATTCCATATTCCATGTTCCCCCAATTTCTCAGTTTCTTCACACTTTGGACCGAGATAAGGGTTGGGTCTACTTATATTTTGTGATATATACAAGGAGCCAATCACCTCTTCCCCCTGTTGCAAAGATCAGCCCCCAAGGCACGAGAGAGAGAGAGAGAGAGAGAGATGGGGGTGACTCTAAGCTTTATTGATCACAGAAACAACAGCCACATCAGCTTCTTGATTGGTTTAGGGGCTTCCTAAGGTTTCCACTCAATGACCTCCACTGCAATTTGGGCGGCCCTCTTCACGGCCGGACTGGAGTCGTTCATCCGCTCCCGGAAATCTTGGACCTGGGGCAGGAGGGCCCGGCGGCCTTCAGGGGCTTCGGCCAACATGGTCAGCGCCTTGATGGCGTACAGGCGGACTTTGCTCTTGTCATCGTTGATCAGCGGCAGAAGCGTATTGATGGCGTCCGCGTTGATGGCGGCATATTTCCCTGGAATGGCAAAGAAGCACCTGGAGGGAAGGCCATTTGCAGGAGGAGATGGGAAGCCCGTGGGGTGGCCTAGGAAGGGAGGGGTAAGAGCTGGCCGGATGCCCCACGTTCAGACCCACCTGCCCCCCCCGGAGAGGGTGGCCACCCATGCAGGCTCCTTCCCTGCCTTCCTGAGCTGAAGCTGGGATTTCCCTTATCTTTCCACACGTTTCTCTAACAAACACGGGTTCCCCTTATTTCCATACAATAAGATGTGCGGCTTGGAGCTCTTTCCAAAAAAGGGGGATGTCTGGGAGCCACGTCATTCATTGTTCAGGGGCCCATCCAGAAGTTAACCCAGGGGCTCCTTGGATTACTGAACCCCCCGGGAGCTGCAGGCGGCCTGCTCTCCCGCCACCCTTCCTTACCTGGTGTGGTGACGGCTGCAAACATCAGAGCCCCTGCCGCGTTGGCTCGAACCTCTGCATCTTCGTCTTCCAAGAGGAAGACAAGATCGGAGAAAACGTCTTCTTGCAGGACCATGTTCTTGCCCTCCAAGGGGACGCTGAGAAGCCAGAAAAGAAGAGGCGATTCTGAAGGCCGCCTGTGCCTTTGGCTCTCCCGTGACTGGCCAACGGGCCTTCTCCACAGGGGACGCACTGGAGCGCAGCCACTGGCCTTGTGTAGGGGACACACACACACACACACACACAACACACAAACACAGCCATTTACAAGGGAGGGGGCGCTCTGGCTCTCTTCTTCCTTGCCCAGAGGAAAGCGGTTCTGTCTTCTGTGTGTTTGGATGAAAACGGAACCAGGACTGCTTTTGACCTTCATTGTTAACCACCCAGAACACGGCTTTGCACTAATTTTGCGGTATAAACGTCTAAGAAGTGACCGAATGAATGAATACTATAAGATGGGGGAGCAATCCTGTCTGTTTCTGGAAGGGAGCCGATTCTGTGTCCCGGAATCCAGAGAGTCGGCCACAACACTCTCTACGGCCTTTGGGACAAGCTTTCAGATCCCCCCCCCCGCCCTTTGGCTCCTGTGCTACAGCTGGGAAAGCCGGTAAAAAGGAACTGGAGTAACCCTGGAGAGAAAGCCACAGAGGTGGGTAATAGAGGGGGTGGGATGGGTCTCCCCCCCACTCAAATAAAAAGAAAAATGGCAGCTCAGCTCTAAAACATTCCAAACCCTCGGCTCGGGTGCAGGCAATCCTTGCCTCTTGGAATGGCCGACTCCGCCGAGGAGACGAGGGCGGTTCTGTCCCTCGTGCCTCCACTGCTGGACTCCCCTCAGAGGACTCCCCAGTGCAGGAGAACTTCCCAGGCCGGTGGGGTGTCTGGCCCTCCCCCTGCCTTGAGGGGACCCCCCCTCCCACTGGGGCCACTCCTGCCTCTGGTGGCCTCCCGGGAACGCCGTCCTTCCTGGCCTGACCTTGGAGGAGCCCGCCCTCCTACTCCGAGGGGAAGGGCAAAGCCGGCCCGGGTCTTCCTCACCTGATGGCCATCAGGGCCTGGGCGGCCTTGCTTCGGATGGCCACCAAAGGATGGCACAGCTTCTCTTTCAGGATGCCGACGGCGCCCGAGGCCAAGGCCTCGAAGGCCTCCACGCGCAGGCAGCCGGCCAGCGTCTCCAGGATCAGCTCCTGAATGTCCTCCAACTCGGTCTTCAGCTTGAGGACCAGAGAGGGGACCAGGCCGCTCTCCACGATCCCAATGGCTCCTGCAGAAGGCAAGCAGAAGGAACTCGGCTGAAGACCGAAGGGCATAAGACGATACTTTTGTCTAAAATATTGAGATTAAAAATTGAGGGTTGTCTTATACATGGGAGTAAGGAGGGAGAGGGATCAAAGCGCTTTGATTCCTGCTTTCCCCCTCCACTTTCTTATGAAGAAAGAAATTAGGGTTAGAAAGGTGGGGGGGGTTATACGTGGGGACATCTTATACACGGAAAAATACATACATACATACATACATACATACATACATACATACATACATACATACATACATACATACATACATACATACATACATACATACATACATACATACATACATGGTTCAAGCTTCAAAGCAGTACTGCAACCTCTCCAATCACTCTCCCGCAGCCCATAGCACTATGCTGGGCTTCTCTGTTCCAAAGCTGTCTGGAACGCTCTCCTGGAATGCCTCTGCCGTCCACTTCCGGGACCTCACCTGAGTCCCTGTTACAAGGCACATTGGAATTCATATAGTAAGTTCAGAAACCCAAATCCCGGTGTATCTTTCAGGCTAACGGAGGTACTTCAGGGGACCTTGAGTGTTCCCGAGTTTTCCTTTTTCGGGGGTGGGGGGAGAGGAATGGGCAGATTGTAACCCATGAACCGGGGCCACCCTGAAATGGATCTGTCTGTCTTCCATGCGCTGGTTTCTGTTTTCATGACGTGTGCTGAAAACCCAGTAAGAACTTCCGAAATAAAAATGTGGTCTTTAAGAAAGCTTTCTAAGACTCAGGAGCTGAAAAGAGAGACACAGATCTTTATAACTAATGGATAGATATATAACCAACCTAGTTTTAGATTTGATTTTAAAAAGAGGAAGATGCTCTGACAGATGAAACAAGACAACTGTAACACAAAAAAGGAATGGAAAGCAGAAGAACGTGGCATTTCGGTGTGTTTTTGCTTTCTTTCCCTGTGCCTGCGTGTGCCAGGTAAAAACAGGGGATGCTACATGTGGTCCCCAGAAGCATTTAAAGTATGCAATGCCTTTTGGGAATTTTTAAAAACTACTATTGAATTTCTGATGAAATATACCCGGATTCTGAAAATATGACTGTCCTGTTTCCTTTGACTAGACTTAGGCAGAAGCCCTCTCATCCCAAAGGGGGCCAGTCAAATGATTTCAGCGGAAACTGCAGGTGCACAGATTTGGATTTTCTTGGATGATGGCTTCCAGAATTCCCCAAGGACACAGATCTTTAAATGAGGGGAGGAAGGGAAGGAGCAGCACAAGAGGGATCTAATACAGAAGGTCAGGATTGCCTGCATTATTTTTAAAGACAGCCTGCAGTCCCTGGCAGCTGCTTTGAAGATTTGGGGTGGGGGAGGGAGAGAGCGAGAGAGCAAGAGAGCAGGCAGGTGGGAGTTAAGTCCTCCCACGGTGATATTTCTACTTTCTGAATCTGCTCCTCTGATGGCAACTTTAGCTTGGCAGAGGAACACTCACAGGTGCCCAAATGACACCGGCCACATCCCAAAGGGTGGGAAGATGGATGGATGGATGGGGCCAAACCCCTCAGCTCTGTGAATGTGTCTGGATGCGCAGGTGGGCGGGTGTGAGTGAGGGATCCACTGCAAAGGAAACCCCATCGCGTGGACGTTGTCTGCTCCCAGGACGCGCGTCTTCCAGGCTCTCGGGCATTCTGCTGCTTGCTTCGGAAGAACACAGCCGTCCCCTCTGGAGTGGACTGACGGGCAATCCGTCAATAAACGAACACACCAGCCAGGAGTGTGGGCTTCTCTTGGGTGCTCGAGGAAGAACAGGCCGTTACCCTGGCAACCGCCTCAGTTCTCCTCAGGAATCAGAGCATCTCCTGCCTCCTGATGGCCTCTGGGAGGGACCGGGGCTTGGCGAGAGGAGGGTGCTCGGCCCAACCCCACCCCACCCCTTTGGGGGTTCCTGCGGCTAGGTGTCGGGCCCTCCGCCCCTCCCCCCCCGAGGATGGTGTGTGCTGGTGGTGTTTGGGGAGAGGGGTGAGGACCACATGGCGGCTGCAAAGGCATGTGAGGAGAGCGCGCCACATGTTTCTGCTGTTTTATCCAGTGGGCAAAGAGAGAAGGGCGGCAGGCTGGAGGTCTAAAGGTGAAGGTGGGCAAAGAGCAGCCACGTGCTCTGAGTTTAGGGCAAGAGAGAGAGGAGGGCAGGCAGGCAGGCAGGTGGGGGTGGGACCCTCTTGACCCTTCACACCACCCGGGGGGGGGCAAGTCCGTTTCTCCACCAAAGAGGTTGTGGCCACTCAACCCCCACCCTGGCTCTAGGTCTCAAGGAATGACCCCCGCTCTGCTCACGTCCTTCAAAGCCCCTCCTGAGAAGCCATGCCCTCTGCTCGAGGGGCAGGCAAGGGGGGGGGCGCGACCCTGCCAGGTAAGGGGGAGGGGTTCTCACGGCCACCCACACCTACGCCGACAAGGTTTCATGGCCATGCTGGAATTTGAAGCATGAGAAGCAACCCTTGAGTGGAAAAGGGTAGATAAATATTGGGGGGGGGGGGAAGAGGGGATAAAGCACCCCCCTACACAGGAAAGCACACAGAACTGTGGGGTTACATACCTCTTAGGGCAAAATAAAAACAATAAATGAACATAAATAAAAAGAAGAAGCGCGAGGCGACAGGCCAAGGGGAGGAAGAGCAAAATAGCCCTGGAAGCCCCCAGAATGACCCTGGGAGGGTCAGCCAGACACACCCCATGAAACATGTCCTGTGCCAGGAAAAGGAACCCCCCCGAATTTATGTTACATTGATTGATCTCAGGCACCCCAGAACCCCTTGCCCTGCGCAAAGAAGCGTCTCTTTTCGAAATACAAAGCCTCTATTGTTCTTCTCAAAAGTGCCAAACTCTGAAAAGCAGCTCAACAGGATAGCGGCTAATGCAAACATAGGCAGGCAGCTGATGCAGGGACGGGTGGGGTGGGGGGGAATTAAAGGACAAAGGGCGGGGGCGCTGCCGCTCCTCGCCTCTTTTCTCTCTCCCCCCCCAAGGAAGCTCGCTCGCTCGCTCGCTGCAAAACCCGGTTTTGGGTCTCGAGAGACCTCAGGGGGCCCTCCGGTCGCCCTTCAGAAGCCCCCAGGGGGTGGACTTGGATCTGCTCTGTTTGGGGCATCTGGGCACGGCTTTGATGGAAACCCACCCCCACCCCAGCCCCACCCGGGTTCCACCGGCCTTT